CCTTTTTCTTTGATCTTTTGTAGAATTAGCTTTCATAGTGTTGCTTGTGTCCATTTTCTAAGGTGTGTGAACAGTGGCCCTCAAAGGAGTCCCCAGACCTTTTTGGAAGTGTGAATAGTCTGGGTTCTCCTGGCTCATGCATAGAGTTTGGCTTTGCTTGGAAAATCTTCCACCATGCTCCAAGAATCTCACAGGCACATCTGTCTCCACGTTGACTACCGGCTTGCTTCACCAGCCTTTCTCTCTCCCCACTTTGCATGGCCCTCTGAAACTGGACCTCTGATTAAAGAGAGTGACAGTCTTCCTCAGGGGAGTTCAGGCATTTGGTTAAGAGTGTGATCTGGTCTGGCCTTACCTGAAGGACCCTCTAAATAAGCATACAACAATTACTCTAAATCCCTGGAAGAAGTCACGTTTCTACTTTCTGTGTGTAACCTGCAGTTAGCATTTATTCATCGTCTACTCAGGACCAAGGCATAAAAAAGTGCTTTACAGGATGTGTCATTCTGAATCCTTGCAGACAACCCTCTGAAGTAGGCCCTATATTTTTCTCGGACTGCATCTGAGGAAAAGGAGAGCATATTAGGGTTACATTCAGCTGCAGCTAATGGAAAACATGGTGTACCATGCCTTAAACAAATAAGGGGTTTACTTTCCTTATGTCATGGAGGAGAAAGGTAGGAAGTTCAGGGCTGATATGCTGGGCTCCAGATGCCATCAACCTATCATTCCAGCATCTTTAGCATGTAGATCTTCTTCACGTTTCATGCCTTGTGATTACAAGATGGCTGCTCTACTTCTGGCATTGAATTGGCATTATCGGAAAGAAGAGGAAAAGCTAAAGCAGTGGTTCTCACTTCAGGGCAGTTTTTCCCCTAGGGAATTTTTGGAAATAACCGGAGACAATTTCGGTTGTCCAGACTTGGGGTTTGGTGTTTATACTGGCATCTAGTGCATAGAAGAAGCTGACAACACTGCTAAACATCCTACAGTCTACTGGACACCTTCCACAACAATTATCTGGCTCAAAAATGTCAATAGAGCTGAGATCTAGAAACCCTGGACCAAAGGAAGAAAACACAAACCAGCCAAATCTGTCCTTTTTAAAAATGGACTCCTGGAAGTGGAACAAAGCCATTAGCCAGAATCTCTTTCTATAGCCAATTCTAGCTGCAAAGGAAGCTAGGTGATACAGCTATTTTTTTGTTTGTTCTTTTGTCATCCTGAACAGAATTGGAGTCTGATACTAAGAGAAGGAAAGTAGAATGGATATTCAGTAGACAACAGGAAGTACTTGCTTCTGAAAAGTAAGAACTTTGCACAAGGTCACAGAGGTGGTGAAGATCAGCAGTGGCTTGAGCCTACTCCATTGAGGAAGGACGTTTGGTTGTCACATGCAATAGTCCCTTTCCAGAACTTTGTCTGAATAAGGAATGCAAATGCATGCAGTGGTTACAGAAAACTCTGGAGTTTTTGATCAGTCACAATCAGCCTAGGAAATATTCCTTGTCGAACATAATATGCAGTCTGTTACCTATTTATACCACCATTCTCTCAGTATTTGCATTGGGACTTGCCTTTCCTTCTTGTTTGTGTCACCAACCCATGGGGTAACTAATTTCAAGCCTGTCTCACCATACTTTGCCCTTGAGCAAGTCATCAAGCTGTTGGTATTCATTTATCTCATTCATGAAAAGTAAAAAGGTGATGTAATCACTATTTGCCTTAAAGTGTGTATCAGAGTTCATGCGGGAACATGAATGCCCTTCAAAGTGTATCAAGGAAGAAGATGTATAATACAGGGAATTGGAGGCTTCTGCAACTGTTGGGAAGGCTGGAGAGCAAAGGCCACAATCTCTCAGTGAACTGCTGCCCTCACACAGAAGGGGTCTTCTCAGGAGACTGCCTGGAAGCTGCTGGCACAGCGCTCCCTCTGCCATCCGCAGATGGCTCTGTGTCTGCCCATAGCTCCCAATGAAGTGAATAAATAGTGTCTCCTTCTACCTTTGCAATGTCCTATAAGTTGTTCTCATTGACAGATTCTAACGTGGAGCCATGCCCCATGGGATTTCTGGAGATGGACTTCTGAAGCTTCTAGGAGAAGAATGTAGAATGGGGTGGGGTGGGATGATGTGGAACTGACAACAGACTGTCTGACAGAGGGACCATTGGAGTTTGAATGGAGGCATACATAAAGGGCACATTTTGGAAAGAAGAGCACTCTGTTCAGCTGTTGGCAATGTTGCTACTAGTCTTATTATCTTATTCTATCTATATGTCCTTGGGAGATGAATTACAGATTCTTTGTAGCTCTCTTCTGGCTCTCTTCAAGTCTTGGTATTGCTAAATAAATAATAAAAAAGGATTCAATGACCTGCATGTACAGTGTAGAAGGTAATATATTCTGTGAAGCTCCATAGTGCAGTGGGGGTCCCAGAACGCGAGGTTTGAAAAACAATGCATAATTCATCAGCATGCTCCAGGAAGACCAGTGTTCAGAAAACGATTGTGGATGACCCAGCTTATATATCACTTCACTTTTGGGGAAACTATCTGGAGCTCTTTATTTGCTCTATGCTACGCAAGTGACTAGTGGCGAGCTCATAAAATGCAACGAGGACTTAAATGCAATGAGGGAAACACTACTACAACAGTCTTGAAACAAGGGAATTTATAGGCATAGGAGGCATTGTGTGGCGTTGGGGGAGAGTTGTAACCTCTAGTTATCTGTTCTCTAGATTACATCAGGCTTTCAGTGTAACTCACAGGTTTTTGAAGGCGGAATTTGATCTGTGCTATATTTGAGGCTGGAACGACAAAATCCATTATGACTGTGTCCTATGGCACTTGTAAAATCCTTTCTGAGTCTTTGAGTTTCAAGTTTCTACTGATATTTAATATTTGAATTATCTCAAGGAAGATAAGGAAAATGTATTATGTTATTCTGTTTATTTCTTGGGTGAGGAAAATTGAAAGGGACTAAAGGTAAAAAACTCATTAGCAAGAGCAATATGCAAAGGTCACTGGTTTTGCTGTGCTCAAATAAAACCAGTGTGTTTGGGGTTGCCTGGTGTCTAGTGTTGGGTCTTCTGGAGACAAAGCTGGAGATGAGGATTTGGGTGCAAGTGATTTAGGATTTATTCTGCAAGTGCTCCCAAGAGAAACCAGCAAAGGAATAGGGGAAGCCAGCCAGAGAAGGGTGAGAGACAGCCAAGGGTGTGATTTTAGGGGAAGTCTCAAACAGCCTGATTGTTCAGGGGAACTCTGGAGTGCAAATTAGACCTCACAGTTTATCCCAAATTGAGGCAAAATAGCGGGGCTTTCCTACTCCTGCTACAGCCAGGCATTGGCTGAAGGCTGCTGGGGTAGGTGGGGGTGGGGATGGGATCCGAAGGTAGATGAACTCCCAGGAAAGAACTGTTTGAGTACAGGCCAGGGGCTCCAGTAGCCCTAGGGCAGGCCTTCTAAGATCTGATGTGCTGGCCACGAAAAGAAAAAGAACATTAGATGCTGGGGAGGGATGTGGAGAAGCAATAAAAGGGATCCCAGGGGGATCTGGGTAAATCCCTAATTTCTCTTTGAGTAAGCCACTCTTTGGTTTTTATGAAATCTAGAATCTGGGGAGAGGAGGGAGACATATTTTCACATGGGATTGTAAAGTTTCTCTAGAGCAAGAGTTGGCAAACCTTTTCTACAAAGGGCTGGATAGTAAATGTTTGAGGTTTTGTGGGCCACAGAGTTTCTGTTCCAGCTACTCAACTCTGCCTCCGTAGTGCAAAAGCAGCCACAGATTATGTGCAAATGAGTGGGTGTGGTTGTGTTCCAATAAAACTTTATAAAAACAGATGGAGGTGGGTGGGGAAGAGAGGGGACACTAGATTTGGCCCATAGTTTGCCAGTCCCTAATATGCAAGTTCCTTGTATGGGCCCAAGGTGATTTTTCCTCTATTCATTCTCTTTATGCTGCAGAACACAGGGAGTAACTAGTATGTCTATCAAAGGGATGGTTGTGATGCATCTTACATTAGTTTGGACCCTCTACCTCCAATCTTTCTGGCATTCTGGCCAGCATCATTCTCAGTGTTGCATGGTAATCTTGCTGAAGGGTGATTCCTCTTGTTTTACTCCTGCTAAAAATATTTAGTTCTCTCCTATCTATTGACTTTTTTAAAAAAATGTTTTATTTACTTTTGAGAGAGAAAGAGAGACAGAGCGTGAGCAGGGGAGGGGCAGAGAGAGAGAGAGGGAGAGAGAGAATCCCAAACAGGCTCCCTGACGTAGGGCTCGAACTCACGAACCGTGAGATTGTGAACTGAGCCAAAGTCGGATACCTCATCAACTGAGCCACCTAGGCGCCCCTGTCCTCTCCTGTCTATAAAATAAAATACAGACTCTTTGCATGGCATTCAGGAATCCCTGTGAACTGGCCCAAACCAGTTTTCCTGCATTAGTTACTGCTCTCCCCTCCT